AACACTAATTATTACTTGTCTTGTTGATAATAGTCATTCTAACAAGTGTGTGGTGGCATCTCATTGTACTTATGATTTGCATTTCTCTAATTGCTAGTGAAGTTGAGCATCTTTTCATATATCTGTTGGAAATTAGTGTCTTCTTGGGAGAAGTGTCTTTTCAAGTCCTCTGCCCATGTTTTAATTGGATTGTTTCTTTGTATTAAATTTAGCTGTATAAGTTATTTATATATTTTGGATATTAACCCCTTGTCAGAGTTATTGTTTTCAAATATCATCTCCCGTTCAGTTGGTTGACTTTTTTTAATTTTTGGAAGAAGTGAGAGGAAGAGAGAGATAGAAACATCAATGATGAGAGAGAATCATTCATTGGCTGCCTCCTGCACACTCCCTACTGGGGATCAAGCCTGCAACCCGGACATGTGCCCTGACCAGAAATCGAATCATGACTTCCTGGTTCATAGGTTGATGTTCAACCACTGAGCCACGCTGGTTGGGCTGCCTTTTTGTTTTGTTGGTGGTTTCTTTTGGTGTGTAGAATCTTTTTAGTTTAATATAGTTCCATTCATTTATTTTTGCCTTTACTTCCCTTGCCTTTGGGCTCAAATGCATAAAATGTTCTCTCCGACCAAGGTCCATAAGTTTAGTAGCTATAAAACATAGATAATCTATTGTTTCAGATCTAATATTTAGGTCTTTGGGATATAAATAATAGGAACAAATAAACAAACAAGAAAAACAAACAAACAAAAACTCTTAGACACAGACAGCAGTATGGTGGTTACCAGAGGGAAGGGTGCTTACCAGACAGAAGGGTAATGGGGGTCAAATATATATGATGAAAGATGATTTTACTTTGGGTGGTGGGCATGCAATCCAGTATACAAACCATGTGTCAAAGGAAATGTACACTTGAAACCTATATAATCTTATTAACCAATGTCACCCAATAAATGTAATTAAAAATTAAGTAGCCCAGAAGTGTGGCCCATACTAGTATATCTGGATGCTGGCATTCACACGCAACAGCAACTGGTATAACATGTGTTATTGGACATGTCCACTGGGGAAGAGAACCCTCTTGAATGGGTCATCTTTGGTCTCATGTCCACCTCCAGACCCATAATAGTTGCCAGAGGAATCCCAGTCAAGGAATGATTTTTTTTAAAGTGACTGCTGGAGTTGAGCAAAACTGAGAGTTGGATAGGAAGAAAGAAAAGAGAAATGTATGCTATAAGGCAGTGATGGCTAACCTATGACATGCGTGTCAGAGGTGACATGCGAACTCATGTTTTTGGTTGATTTTTCTTTGTTAAATGGCATTTAAATATATATATATATATATATATATATATATATATATATATATATTACATATCAAAAATATAAATCTTTGTTTTACTATGGTTGCAAATATCAGAATATTTCTATTATATGTGACACGGCACCAGAGTTAAGTTAGGGTTTTTCAAAATGCTGACACGCCAAGCTCAAAAGGTTCACCATCACTACTATAAGGCAATAAATAGAATTTACTACTGAGACAAGTCCAAGAATAGGTGTCAAAAAGAACCTAAGTGCAGACATGTTTTAGACTTAGGCATTGTGGCCAAATGAAAATGATATCTTCGTGAGAATAAAGCCAACAAATGAACTGCAGAAATAAATAGGTACTTATTTTAAATTGAAGATTTCTTACATAAGTCAATACGACAAAGTAGACATTTAGCAAGCAGTATTTAGTTTTAGGTGTGGGAGATCAAGTAGAGTAAAAATTTGTTAATGATATTTGGGAAGGTAGAAATAGATACTATGAGTCATGTACTTTTTTATGTTAGGCTGAGTTCTTCCACAGTTAGAAAAATCTAAATACAAAAGGATCAACAAACATTTTAATATTATGCTTCCAAATGAAAGGTATTTTTTTGCATTTGCAGTCACTATTGATAGTTCCAATTTTCTTTGCATCAGTTCCTCCCTCTTTCTTCATTGCATTAAAGCATCAATAAACATAATTGATTTGTTCTTCACAAAGAACATTTAAAATACTCTTGCTCTTCAATACTTGAAACCTGTGTCTGTATGTCTTGTATCACTCCTTCCTGCTTGGGCTTAAATAGAAAAATAAATATATTTGAGCCTCTGGGATGAATCTAGAATGTTCTGATATGTCTCCCCAAACTACAGTTCATGTCTGGAGGTAATAATCAGGTTTCTGATGTGCTTTTGGGTGCAGAGCACTTTTAAAAGCACCCAGGGGGTGGGGGGGGGAGGGGGTAATGGGGGATGAGGACACATATGTAATACCTTAATCAATATAGAAATTAATAAAAGAGCACCCAGAGACCAGTTTCACCTTAACAAATGCCACATTTTAGTGGCTGTGTGGACTGTGGAGCACAATTGTGTGACAGGCCTCTAAAATGTTGATTCAATATAATTTTCACACTTTTCCATTGTTCTATTTTCTTAATCTCTAAGGACAGCCTACTTAAGCAAATAAGCACACAAATACAAAATCTACTGCTTCCCAAACTCCAGTTTACTAACTTTACAGACCAGTTTTTTCTTTGTGATGATCATAATGCTTAAATTTTTTTCTTTGGCTTCCATTTCCTTCTGAAGTGTATTAGTGGAATCTGAAGGCAATTTTGTGGTTCATGGTAAACAGATGAAATATAGTTGACATATATTTGTCAGTATCAAAATCCTTTTCAAATTTCATGGCTAAGCTCATATGTAACCTCTCCAGTGAAACCATTTCTTCTTTTAGATCTTATTCATAACTGATTATTTTTCCTCTAGACTCCCACCAAATATCAACTTACACCTCTGTAGCACAGTGAAAACAACTGTAATAACTAACACAAAAGTTTTCTGGTGCAATAAAATCTGTTACACCATAATTTCCTTATGTTGATAACTTTGGATGATGGCAAGGAAAATGATTAAGTTCCCTGTCTGCTCTAGCAAATCCTCTAGTTGAGATTTCCAGAAGCTAATTCTGAAATGTGCATTTGTTGTGCAAATTATTTAAGGAGTGCTCTCTGTAGGAACCAGTAAGGAAGTAGGTGAGGTAGGAAAGGAAAGGAAGAGGGCCAAAGCCAAGGTGAAGTACAACCTCAGCATGTTCCCATGGGGAGCTCTGAAGCAGAAGTCGCATTGTGGAGTCTGTCTTGCCTCAAGGTAGAGGCAAATGGTTACAGTATCTGCCAGCCATTGATTTGGGGCTGCCCAATAGGGACATAAACTTACCTGTCACTTGTGGCTCTCTAATCCTATGGGCAACTCCAACCACCCAAAGGTGGTCCTCTAAAGAAAACAGTAGGTGCCAACCCTTAGAAGTAAAGCAGGTAGAAAATGGAGGATGAGAGCATAGATCCAAGGGACCCAGAGGATCTGAATGGAGCACTGATAGTGGTCACTAGAACTAGTAAATCAAGAGCCAAACAAACCATGGGAATAATGATTATAGCCAGGAATTATATAGTGCTTACCGTATGTCAGTATTGCTCTACGTTCTTGATAATATCTTATTTAATCCTTACAACAACCTTATGAGGTAGTTAATGTTATAATTTGTGTTTGTCAAATGAGGAAACTAGATTTATTTATGGAAGTCACTTGTACAAGGTGACACAAAGATTTCATGGTGCAACTAAGATTTCAATCAATAAGTGTGGATGTATGCTTCAACAGATGCCAAATTTGGCATGGCTTCTCAATACAGAGCTGTTAAGAGTGACAGAACCAAAATCTCTGGGCTTGACCAAAATCTCTTGGTAGCTCGAAACAAAATGAGATAACACATTTAACACAGTTTAGTGTAGAAAAAAATTTAATTACTCAAAAAAATTTAAAAAGGCAGAAAATCAATAACTTTACCCTGAAGAGCTCTTATGTATATTGTAATATGAAATAAGCATCAATCAAGAATATTTTAATGTATTTCCAATTCTAAGGATCCTAGTTGCTTTAGGTACATTGATTATTTTGGGAACATGTTAAGATAATAAATATTACTACAAGTTTTCTCTTCAAGCAAAATAAACAAAGCTTCTGATTGCAGTTTGGAAAACATACAAGACAAAATCTATATGTTGCACAGTAAGCAGTAATTGAGTAGGAAACTGTTTATATCTGCTCCTGTATTCAGGGATGATATGTAATAGCTAAATGTATTTAACAAGCAGGACAGTACAGGTAGCAACTAATTGCAGTGAATGAAGCAGCCAATCAGAATGACAATATGACCATTCAGAACAGATGATGCAATTAATCAGAATGGATGTTGGCTGAAACATAGGTGAGATCATATATGGGGATTTAGCCAAATATCAAACATGCCTATAACTGATGTGAAACTCGATTGTGCCAATATTACTCAACTTTTCTCACAGAGACATATTTGAAAAAATATAGGTGTTCCTGGGGTAGAATAGGTAAGTTTCACTCCCAAGATCGCCTGCTTCTTCTCCCAGCTATAGTGGAGACAAAGCCAAAGTAAGACTGATCAGAGAAAAGCATTATAAATAAATAATAGCTAATATTTATTTTACACTTAAGTACCAGGTGCTGCACATGTATTATCTTCCTTAACTTTTGCAACAACCTTTTGAGGTGTATACTATTATTATTATTATCCTTGTTTAATTGATGAGGAAACCAAGGCATGGAGAAGTTGAGTAACTTAATCAAGGTCATGCAACTAATATATCCCAGAGCTAGCACTAAAACTTGGGCAGTCCTCCCACTTAGCTACAAGTTGTGACATTATTAAAAACGGGCATTCTCATCAACACTATATTATTAGACCATGCCATTCTTCCATCCAGCTAAATAATAAAGTACAAAAAATATTTGGGCTATGATTTGGAACCCCTGAAATCACTGAACAACATTTGTCTTCAATGTGGTTGCAGTTGTCCCATTTCTGATCTAAATTGTTTCAAACAAACAGAAAGCAGTGAAGGAGGGCAGCAAAGATAAAAGAATAGTACCTTATTCTCTTTTCCTCCACTTTCTTCAAATATTCATCTCTCTTTAAAACTCCTAAGATCATTTCCTTCTCATGATCTAATAAAAATGAGAGATTGATGAACTCTGAGTTCTTAGACATGGTATTTCAGCAGCAGCTCTGAATAGCAGTGGCTGAATCTTCCAGGTGAATTGATATCCTCAATTCTTAAGGTCCCCTTCAACAACCCAGTCACTCAGTTCTTTGATATAGAGTGATTTTTTTATAAAGTATTTGAAGAATTGCCAATGTTAGTTAGGTATTCTTCCAGGCTACATAGAAAACAGGCTCCACTGGGAATACATTCCAAAAAAAGTCATTACTGTTTTAACTGAAAAATATTTCCAAAGACTTTGCTGTGGTGTACAGTCAGGTGGAAGCTGAGGGTCACTAATGATGCTCAATATTGATCCTTCAGACAACTACAGGGCAGGAATCATATCCACTGGAGAAAAAAAGGTGGAGAAAACAAAGGAGAGAAAAATTAATTAGGTCATTTTTCCCATAGCACTTGTAAGAGTGTCTAATTTTTGAAACAGTGATATATTTAAGCTAAAAAATATTTTTAATCAGGAAACATGCATTTATTATGCTCATATCATGTGTTTATTACCATCAAATATTATAATATTTAGTTGATTCCAAGTTCTTCATGCAAATTCAGTTTCTTTCATTATAATTAGAATTCTTTACTAGCCAGATCCTGTTACCACATTTGCAGCTGACTCATGGACAAATTGGGTCACCACTTGGGGACACCAAGTGTGCAGTCTGTACAAGTCCCTTATATGGCCTCCTCCTTTTCTCTTCCTCCCTACAACTCAGACCACAGCAAAGACAGCACTGCTAAAAACTACTAAACAGTGCTACATGTAGCAACATGAAAATATCTCACAAACATAATATTGAATGAAAAAACTCAAGTTACAGAAACATTCATGCAGAATAATAGCATATAGATGAAGGAAATAACTTGTGACAACATTAATTTAGGAATACATGTATTTGTATTATAAATACAAGAAACTCAGAGAGATGCAGAGAGGAGAACCCAGGAACTTCAATTGTATTGGGTAATGTTTCATTCTCAAGATGGGTGTTTTTATCTCATGATGTACATGGTCATTTGTGTTCTAGGTATGTGAATACTGTAAAGCAGTTATTCTAAAACTAGCCCCTTGTCAACATCAGAAGCTTTTCAAGCACTGTCCCTTGTTCTAACGCTTGAACACATTCTTTCATTGCCTTGGTAACTGGATTCTCTCTATACATCCCCTTAAGAATGATGCATATTAGAGTGATCTACCAGATTTTGTGATTTGGCATCATTCTGCGACACTATCCCTCAGCTTCGCCCCAGGTCTGTGAACTACAATCTTTATGCAAGTTACACTTGGTTTGCTTGGTTCTAGCCAGGTTCCCAAGCATAGCTAAATACTTACTCAAAGACTGCTTAGACTGAACTCAAAATTTCAAGATAACTGGAAGGATAGAATCTTTTCCAGAGCCTCATTAATTTTCCAAAGTTCCTATTTGTTTGTTCTATACATTGTACACCAAACCAGAACTGAAATGACTTGGAACTGAACTGCTTCCTATAGACCACAAGCTAGTCCTCTCTGAGAAAACTGCCTGGTCAGGACATATATTCTAGATTTAATCAAGTCCTTTTTTCCACCTCCAAAGTCCTAGAGCAGTGATGGCGAACCTATGATACGCGTGTCAGAGGTGACACACAAACTCATTTTGGGTGACACGCATGGACAGAGACAAAAAATTGCATAACTCAAATATTTGTCTCTTGCAACGGCCAGAGTTGGGCATAATTCAAGTAATATTATTACTCACGTTACCCATGATCAATAATGCAATTCTAAAACCGGAGGTAAACATGTACATCGGTGTTGCGTAGCAAAGATACATAGTGAGAACATCCAAGATACATTGTTCCAATATTGACAGTAATATAAAAAGGTTAAGAATTGCACTATAAAGAGATTAATTTTTACTCATGACATTTTATTTTTACCCGAGTGACAAAATGCCCAATTCTGGAAACGGCCTTGTTATTGTCAACATGTGCCTCGGGTAAGCTTCCCGTGCGTTCGAGTGCATTCGGCAAATGGAGGCACTTGATCGCCATGTTCATTAGGAGACAGGAGTGGGAGGGTTAGAAGAAAAAGATATACAGTGCAACAGTGCTCAATGAGACATTCTGCATGTCGGATAATTGATTACAGCACCATGTATTTGTTGGTTATATGTACTATCTTTGAATTGTTTTGCGCCAGGAGTCAGTGCAACAACACTGCAAAAAGTTAATAGGTAAGAAACCTATCAACCTTTTATAAAAAATGCTGTGATTTATATTTATTTATTTTTGCAGCCTTGTGATGGAGAATAAAAAAAATTAAAAAGCAAGATTGAATGATAAAGGAAGTGGAAGTAGCAGTAGCCGACCCTTTCAAGACATATGGACCGAGATGTACGGGATGGTCGATAGAAACAATAGATCACTGTGCATACTGTGTAATGAAATGGTAGTAAGCAGAACGTGGAATGTAAAGAGACATTTTGAAACTAATCATTGTCAGCTCTTGAAAAAAGTATCGATTAAAGGAAGAAATACATTTCTAGGCAACTACACCTCTATAAAAGTCAATCAAATTCTTTCATCAAATTTGTAAGATGCTCTACAAATTTAACATCAGCAAGTTACTGTATTGCTCACTCCATAGCTCAGCATGGAAAAGCCCTCAGTGACAGAGAATTTATTAAGGAAACATATCTAAGATGTGCACCAGCTCTATTTCACGATATGAAAAATAAAGATGATATTATTAAAAGAATTTCTGAGTTACCACTCAGTAGAAATACTATCAAAGACAGAATAATAGATCTTAACAAAAATGTACAACATCAATTTAAAAAAGACTTAAATAGTTGTAAATATGTTTTGGTTTCTCTTGATGAAACTACTGATGTCACATAAAATGCTCGGTTGGCCATTATTGCTAGATATTCTGATGGTCTCACAATGAGAGAAGAGTTGATACAGTCAGAATCAGTGCCAATAAGTACATCAGGAAATGAAATATGTAAGGTTGTTATAAAAAACATTCAGCCCTGACCGGTTTGGCTCAGTGGATAGAGCATCGGCCTGCGGACTGAAGAGTCCGGGGTTCGATTCCGGTCAAGGGCATGTACCTTGGTTGTGGGCACATCCCCAGTGGGAGGTGTGCAGGAGGCAGCTGATCGATGTTTCTCTCTCATCGATGTTTCTAACTCTCTATCCCTTTCCCTTCCTCTCTGTAAAAAAATCAATAAAATATATTAAAAAAAAAAAACATTCAGTGACCTAAACATTGATATCTCTAAAATTGTGTCAGTCACGACAGATGGGGAACCAAATATGGTGGGAAAAATGTGGGATTCCTGAAATTGTTCATGGAAGCTATTAGACATCCACTTGTACCTTTTCATTGCATTATCCATCAGGAGGTGTTGTGTGCCAAATCAGGATTCTCAGAATTGAATGATTTAATGTCAGTTGTAACAAAAATTGTGAATTTTATAGCTTCTCGACCCCTACACAAGCGAGAATTTTCTGCACTTTTACAAGAAGTTGATTCAACCTACAGTGGACTACTGATGTTCAATAATGTGAGATGGCTGAGTCGAGGTAAAGTACTTGAGCGATTTGTGGAGTGCTTCGAAGAAATTACGGTATTTATTGAGAATAAGGATCTGGCAAACTTTCCTCAGATCAATGATCATAAGTGGGTCAGCAATTTGATGTTTTTTACAGATCTCTCTGTTCATATGAATGAACTGAACTTAAAATTACAAGGTTTTGGCAAAAGTATTGACATTATGTTTGGATACATCAAATCTTTTGAAAGTAAACTTAAAATTTTCAAGAGAGCTATTGAAACTAAAACTTATAAGTATTTTACACGGATAAAAAAGTATTTCGAGAAGGCCACTACAAAGAGTGTAATGGAGTCCATACTTATGTACTAGAATATAGTAAACTCATTATTTGAACAGTTCAGTGAAAGATTTGACCAATTTAGAAGCCTAGAACAGACCATTAAAATAATTAAGTATCTGGATGTAGTTGTTTACAGTACTTTGGAATTAAAGGATTTCCAATGGATGCAAATTGACGATTTAGAGATGCAACTTGCAGATTTTCAAGGTAGCATTTGGACTCATGTGTTTGTCGACTTAAGGTCGAAACTTGAAAATCTGGAACGAAATCGTTTGAATAATGAAGAGTGCAACTACGAACAAGAAATTTTGAGTGCTTGGAACAGAGTACCTGACACTTTTAGACGTAAAAAATCTAGCGATGACTTTGTTAACAATTTTTTCATCAACATATTTTTGTGAGACTTTGTTCTCAGCATTAAATAATATTAAAACAAACAAAAGAAACCGGCTAACAGATGAAGTTAGTGGCACTTGCTTGGCCTTGAAGTGCACCAAGTATGAACCTGCAATCGAAGAATTAGCAAACAAACTTCAGCACCAAAGCAATCACTAATTTCTAGTTTTCGTACCAGTTGATTATCATTGTTTTTATTATTTTTTTTCCTAAATGTACATTGTTTTTCTGTTTTTGTTCATTTTATATATATATTTTTTGTTAAATGGCATTTAAATATATAAAATAAATATCAGAAATATAAATCTTTTTTTACTATGGTTGCAAATATCAAGAAAAAAAATTATGAATATTTCTACATGTGACACGCCACCAGAGTTAAATTAGGGTTTTTCAAAATTTTGACACACCGAGCTCAAAAGGTTCGCCATCACTGTCCTAGAGGCAGAAGGGATCAAGAGCCCATAGATTAATATGAATAAGAAGCAACAAGGTGAAGAGCACAATGGGCTCTTCAGAACAATTCAGGGTTTGAGTTTTTGCATCACTGTCAGCTGTGTCCTCCTCAGGTAACAAACACAGTGTTTTTTTTTCCCCACTGTGTATCTCATCTGATTTCATGCTGAAATGGGAAAAAAACTTTGTAATTCAGTAAATGTATATATTATCATTACATCCAGGTTCACTTAAGACATATTTTGTATTTGAAATGTCAGATTTAGAATGTCCTGACTGTTCTATAGAATCATATTTAGAAATTATTCAGGAGGTTGGGAGCCCCAAGAATGCTCGACCTGAAGCTTACTGTCATCCTTAATTTGGGCTGTAAATGTAAGTCTTCCCTCTAAAAATCCAAGTGTCTGCCCTGTGAGGAGAATAAAGGGAAGGTAGTAACACCATGGAGTAGTAAATGAAGGTGACAGAGAAGACAGGAAATAAAGCAAGGATATAAGAGAAACAAATTACCCTGTGTGACTTTAATTAACAAAATTAGCCTTAAATGGATTTTTGCTCATCTGTACCAGGATTGTTAGAGCTGATTTGTAAA